GGTTCCACCAAGTTCAGTCACAGTTTAACTGAGAAATGGCGGCCTTGGCCTGATTTCCGCGTCCAAAATGATTCATCAGACTCATCAGCTGGCAACAGTTTCGACAGAGCAGTGGTGACGACATATATCCTTTTTAAAGAGAATTATTTTTCGGAAGCAGCAAATGCTTTGACCTGTCATTAAAAAGTGTGCTCGTTCCCATCTGCATAGAGTTTCTTAATACACATTAGAGGAAACTCTGCTAGTGTCTATGGGAGCTGCAACACACGGCGCTTCAGCGAGCATGGGAATGATGGGTAGTACACACATTTGTCTAATTTTCGTACTTCTGGCCTGCTTCTGGCTCCGTGTGTATTCGTGTGGCTTGGAGCTGTTTTTTCACGAAAACATAATTTAGCATATGTTCACCGTTTGCGCTCCACAACCTTATTCTTTTAGGCTTACCATTACGAATCCAGTCACTAAGTTCAAAAGGGTTCGTTTTTTTTTTTTTTTTTTCAAAACAAAACCGTAACCAGCAATAAACGAAGCCGCAAGTATGATTCGCAGCCAGCAAGTACGAAGACTAGGCAAATGTGCGTACTACCCATCATTCCCATGGTCACTGAACGATCGCAGCGCCAGAGTGCCCTCTAGTTAATTTTGGGAAACTCTATACCCATCTGTAACTTCATCAACAAGTCACAGCAGAATAAAAGCATGAACACGTGATGTAATATCATAGGGCCCCTGTTCAGCACTTACTTGCTTTGAAATACTACAGCACAAGACACAAAATCATCGCATAGGCGACCCGCACCGCGAAGAGCCCAAAAGGAAAATCATCACAGAAGAAATGTTTCAAAATTTCACTATTTTGTAACATTGCCTCGTAACATTGTCATTCTCCCGTAAGAACAGAATTGAGTGATCACTGTTGTGATGGAAAACTTCACTTCACTTGCTGAGTTTCCCAGCGCGCAGCAAGAGTGACCACTATCAAAAGTGGGGGGCCCAGCCCCCCCAACTTTTCTCAGTGGGGGGGGGGGGGCTTATGTTCCCCTTGCCCCTCCCCCCCCCCCCCGGCTTATACGCCTATGTGTGTAGCTCTGCCAACGTGACATCGTCACGACGGTGCATAAGCAATGGTGCAGGTAGTTAGAAGAACAAGAAGGCGCCTAGTTTCTGCAGCCTGGTAGGGAGCACAGCGCAGTGCCTAAGGCGCTGTCACCCCGTCATGCCAATCGTACAACGAACAAAGCGCGAAGCGGCAAGGCCTCAGGCCAGTTGGCCAGTGCGGCTGCGCGCCGGAAGGCAGTACCAGAAGCACGGCTAGCAGGCTAGAGACTTTACAGCCTGTACCTAGAGAAATCGTGGGTTTCATCACAAACATGGCGGAGCAGATGCATTTCGCGGGGGCTTTTAAAAAGCGGTACACGGCTATGCATCAATAACCGTTTCTCAATTCCTTCGGTAGCCGGAAAGGAGAGGGGGGTTTTATTCCAGATTTTATGGTATATAACGTGGATATGCAGGATGAACCGCTTGAAGAACAGCGGGTGCGGCAGTAAAATGCCATAAGCTCGGCACTTTTGGTTGGTTTGAGCGTGAATATAGGTGGAGATTTTTTGGTCACGAATATAGGTCGATAGCTGGTTATGAACAACATTTTCAAAAACAAAAGCTTGACCTATATTCGAATGAATACGGAATTACTATCAAGCTGCCCTGGAATGCAATAAGTGCTGCTGCAATGCCTTAGCTGTCCACCTCGCCCAGGAAATTTGGCTTTCTCCCTGTCAGACCGAGCGTCCAATGATGCTCCTCATGGTGCCCCCCTCCACGTGGGCCCCACTTTTGCCACACCTCAAGGCCACAAAATCAGTGTGCTTGTCTCTCTAACAACGCCTTTCTCTACTTGCCTCACTCTTATCACACTAACAAGCTTTGCTGAGCATCATGACGGCTCGCAGCGAAAAATCGACACAGAAAGCTTCGCTGTTAAAACACTTGCAACACATTCGAAGAAGCACTTCAGACCTTTTGCTAGCATCACCATAAGTATCGCACTATAACCATGACAACAGGCTTCTGCCTTAGAAGCGAGGTGATGGGGAATGACCATTGATATTATAACAATAAGTAATAATTGTTCGTGTTTAATGTCCCAAAACCATCATATGATTTCATATGAGAGAAAATTTCGACCATCTGGAGTGCTTTAATGTGCACCTAAATCTGAGTACACAAGCCTCAAGCATTTTCGCCTCTATCGAAAATGCAGCCGCTGCAGCTGAGATTCGATCCACTGACCTGTGGGTCAGCAACAGAGAGCGTTCACTAGAACACCATGGCAGGTTGAAAGGCTATTAACCGTTGATATTGAACCCCAAAATGCTTGAATTCAACCATACAAGAACTTAAAAAAAAATTCATAATGGCTGTGCTGATAAATACAAATGTATTTGCACACTTACTAGCCTGCCAACAAAATTTCATATGCAATGTAAATATTTAACCCCTCAATTATTAATGCATTCTATAATTTGTTTAATTATAATCACTGTGTTACCATGTTACAATATAAATTAAGCATAATAGTGCTTGGAACTATACTTTTGTATATCACATTGTAGTAGTTATTCGTTGATTGTACCTTGATTATTTGCTTTCATGGATGTAACTTATATAGACTAGTTTTCCTACCCTGCAATGATCTTCCCAGAAGACAATCGCAGTATTTATGAATAAATAAATAAAATGTATTTAGTTATAAAAGTTAAATAACCCTTTAGGAACCAAATTATTTTCCGAAAAATCATGCAAAACTTTTCAATTTTGGTCTTGTCATAATTTGTGCTAACTTGCACTGGGCAGCGTGAGTTCTGAAAATATATTTCCTTACCAATCAAAATACTAGTTAAAAAAAAATAAAGAGGATTGAGCGGCTAAAGGGGACTCCTCCCTCTAAGCATGCCCTAGCAATGAGATAGAACTTACCGATATGACCTACATTTATTTAAATGAACACGATAAGATACCGTGAAGCGCTTAGACATTACTTCATACCAGCACAAGCCAGCATGTCATCGCCACCACTCTGAAGCCCTTTCATGTCCATTAAGTGAGGCTTATTCCCTATGACAAATACGATGTGCTGAACTCATTCACAGAATCAAATGCAAAGTCTTTAGCAATGCCACTATCAGGCCTACTCGAACTACAAAGCTCCTTTTCTCAAAATTACTCTGCCCCCAGCCTCTTTCATGCATTCGAACATTATTGAATCATTGTTACCAGGCTAAATACACAGCAAAGATGAAAAACTGCCTCTTAACATGGAAGATATGGGAGATAAGCGAGTTTGCACTGCTAGATGGACTGGATTTTTGTGCAAGAAATTAGTACCAAGCCAGTGCAACAGAAACGACAAACACGTTTGCTCTGCTTTGTGCGTCCACGCTATGCCCTACCACCCTCTAGCGTTTAAAATGCAAGCGAAAGTCTAATGATGACAGCAATGTATATTTGACACTGAAAGAACACACAGGGCAGAATGAGTCCGACCTCATCATTGGTGATATTGGTGCAGTATCCTATAACTACAAAACTCAGGCCTAATGGTTAAAGGATTCAGTATGTTAAGCAAGCTCCCGGTCCTTAAACGACAAAACCCTCAAGAATCCAGGAAAAGGGACCCATGAGTAACTGAAGGCATAAAGCATGATTTAAAAAGCAGAAAGTAACAAAGAATACACTGTGAACTGAAAAACCTTGGATAAAAATTAACTGAAGCACAAAAAATTACCATTACACAATAGCCAGCGTGTACAGTTAGTACACCGAGGGCTATTTTCACAAAAAATACAGATCCAGTTTCCATTTATTATGCATGCAAGCTTAAGCTCCATTTCTGATACGATGCCTACAATATATCCTTGAGTGGACTGAGCAGCAAGCTTGCTCAAGCACCAGTATTAGCACAATAAGGCAGCTGTCATTTGGACCATCCCCGTTTGAAAGAAATGCAATTGCTGGCGCGCCCTCCATGTCAGTACTATTTCAGATTGCCAACTTGTCCCTCGAACCAAAAGCTGCTAAACAAGTTACTTTGTTGACATCTGGGCTGGTGAAGGGTACTAGCAAAGAAAGACAAAGGCCAAGAGAAGATAAGTCATTCCAGTTCCAACATTTCACTTAATTAGACAGGTCACCCACCAAATAGCGGTTTTCGTTAAAAAATAAAAGTAGGGGGTCTGTTGTGCCTGTTTATATAAGTAGGATCCACTGCAGAAGAATGTTTTATTACAACGAGCCCTAGAAGTCGCTGGCTATTAACCCCTTCTACTGCTGGCAACCACTATTTTGCCATGGCATGAGTGACGTCATGTGCTTCGTCGAGCGGTTCCGTCGTTTTGTACTTAAGCTCCAGCCGCTGCAAATTGTTCAATTTTCAATGCTGAACTCAAGCAGGCTCTATTAGCTCCATTGTACAGGCAGCTGACCACCCAATCAACATCGCTCGCAAATCAAGCAGCTTGTTACGTCACGACTGGCGAGTGTGCTAATGATGTCAGACTGTGGAGCCACTCGCAGGTTCATAAGAATGTATGTTATAAATCAGGCTCTTGACCACATGCGGTGAAATTTCACTAGCTTGTTTGTGAACACCCAAGAACTAACCCCACATAACACGGATTATGAGCGAAAATTGGGCGTCGTGGCCCCTTCAATAATACCCACATGATCAGAACAAAAAAAAAGTATGTTTTTGTTCTGACCATACAAATAATTTTTCATTTTCTTAGAATTCAGATAGACTACTTGCCAATACTCCATCAAGTGCAAAGGAAGGTGCATTCCATGGAGTTGTGGGAGACATAGGGCAGGCTCTGTGCAAGGGGTGTGACATTTAAAACTGACACTAACTCAATACTTTGGTGTCTAAGCTAAATAGCAAGTGACGTTAAATCTCTGGCCAACAGAACATAACAACTGCGATTAAAGAAAAGGTTGCTTACCTTAAACCTCCATCGTGTGACATAGACAAACTTCAATGTGTGGTCCTTGCCTAGTATCTCCTGGTTACATAGGATCTCAATCTGCAACAAAATATTGTGCATTTAAAGAGCAATTTAAAAAATTTTTCAAGTTGTAGAGATAGAAGGCAAATACACAGACAGGGTGCATTGTATGCTCCTATCAGTATCTCAACTTAGATGAGACCTCGCATAATAGAAACTTATGGAGGACGGTTAATACTTAGAGATTCACAAGTTGTGAATTCTTGTACAAGGCGTTAAATTTGCCTCGTATAAGTATCAATGCAGACACGGCAACTGAAGGCAGTATCAATTCATGAGGCACCTGAACGGTATACTCATTCGTGAAACTGCTTGTACATCAGGCAAGGTAGGATCTAGTAAATCAGGACACACATGAACACTGCATGTATTGGTAGGTTTGGAAGTGATGCGTCTGCAATGTTTTATCATCTTTGCTTGGTGAGAGTTTACATGAAGCCAGTAAATATGCAAAACAAAACTCAAGATTTTGTCACATCCCCACTTATTTTTATTTTTTAATTAACTAAATATTGCTTTCACAAAAGGCATCTGCATATAACTGAATATCCTTATGCCTACAAGAAACAGAAATGCACATCTTAAGTCGAAGACCAACAAGCCATACCTCTTTGTATCTGTCAATGTTGTTGAACAGTTTCTTTGCAATAAACTTTTTCAAATGAGTGATGGTGGCCTGAGAAGAGCATCGAATGAACTTGCGCCGCATTTGCTTCAGCTGAACACTATCCGATTCCAGCAGTAAGTTGACCTGCTCATCCGATCTGTGGCAATCCGCCTCGTCTTCCTTTGAGGATGATGCCTTCGAGCCTGCATCCTTTTCATTGAGCAGCCCTACAAGGATGGCAAACAAGATTTTAATTCAACAGACATTCGTGCAAAATGGGCAAATTAATGCCGTAAAGTCAGACAACCTAGCTCACCAGGATTGTGGACCTTGGGACACGGTAGACCTTTGCGCCGATAGAAATCTCGCTCTCTCTTCATTTCATCTATTGAAAGGACAGAGATCATAAAGTACTTACAGATATTACAGTACAAAGCTACCTTTCAACGGCAAACCCTCAACTGGCCACAGCAAACTGAAAATAGAGCTCAAAAAAGCTTCTTGACAACTTTTCACACGAGTGTTGGGAACTTGAACAAATTGTAAGCATTACAGTGACCTTCAGCTATGCTTAAAAGAATCCCGACTTTGTCATTTTTTTTTTTTCAACTCTTGCGAACAGTACCAAGGCAAAGTAAACACACAGCTGATGCTTTTTAAAATGCAGTATGTTTTGGTTTGCGGTATTTTTTTTTTTTGTACAAGTTCGCAATAATGCCACATTACTCATCTAATGAAGCAGATACGGCTTTTGAAATGAAAGGCTGTCAAAAACATGTCCTCAAAATCCAAGAAATTACAAGGAGCTAAATTAAATGGGTTCCAAGTTTGTTCAGCGACCATCTAGGATAAAAAAATGGGTCACTCACTGTACTGAAGATTTGGCACCAGCTTGTACACAATGTCCTGCATAGTCCTGTCGTAGCTGCAAGGAAAACCAATGTCACCTAAGAGTTCTCCGATTCTGGCACAACAGATCACTAAAGTCATACCTGATGTATTGCAGGGGATAGCTCTGATGAATGACAATTTCACAGGTCGGGCATGTGTTGTTGTCCTCCAAATGTTTGACCAGGCAGCTTTTACAAACTGCAACAAGGTAACAAACATATTAATAGTGTGCTAATGCAGTGGCAGAACAGACTTCCATATGAACAGAAAAGCACGGTCACTTACATGTGTGCAGACATTCTGTGACTGTAGTAGCATCGATTAAATACCCCTTGCATATCTTGCAAGTGATGTGATTGTTGAGCGTTTTTAATCGTATCCGCCTTTCCATCTGTAAAAAATGCATAAGACAGTAACATTATAACATGCAACAGAGAATATTGACAGGTCGAGCCACAACACACATAAAGCCAGCCTAAATGCCTGCATTCTGTCAGTATGCACTCAACTTGAGCCTATTTGACGGCGCTGCGTTAGACACACTCTGCTTCATGCTGTGTTTAGACATATAACATAGGTACTGCAGCAAAACCGACTACCTCTGGCGGAACGAAAATGCTTTGCCAGCAGGTCGTTGGCAAAGAGAGTGCTCGCTTAATGTCATCGGTCGAATCGGTGGAATCGTCATCTTCGGGAGATTCAACCTTCATCGGCTCCTTCGTGTCTTGACTTTCCAGAGGCCCTTGCGCCTTTTGCTCTTGTACCTCATAACTTTGGGAAGGAATCTTCTCTGTTTCTTCAAAAATCTCTAAGCCGTCCGTCAGCATGGCGAAGAGAGCTCGAAAAATTCCACCACGTCACGCGACCCTAAGAAAAGATGAACCGAGCTCGCGGCGCGTGCCATCGCAAAACTGCACGAGACTCGCACCAACTTCTTCAGCTGCTGAGAGCCTTCACTTTCGCTAGCATGTTGCAGTTCGTACCACGAGGTAGTGTGATCAAATACGTTCGAAAATACGCCATGACTTTAGCGGAGGCAGGCTCAGAACGGTGTTCTGGCAGACCACAAGCAAAGAAAGTCACCGAGTTGACGTGGTAAGCAGTCATTCCGAAAAGCAGACGCAGTGACAACCGCAACAACGCGTCGGCTTTTCGCACCGAGGTGCATGCAGCAATCGTCCCAATGCTAGGGCGAAACAAACGCGAAGACAAAGGGTTCGCGGCTCATCAGTCTAACAAAAACTAAACTTCTAAACCAAGTGCACCACGATAGCAAACTTCCTTGCATTGGCACAGGAGAACACGCACATTGATTATTAGAGAAAGCAGGCACGGTTTACCTGTCTTGATAAGGACTCCTGGGGAATGAAAACCATGAAGCACTAGTTGTTTCTCGGCGTCACCTGCTCACATATCACTAGATGAGACCCGATTTATTTGGAGAACTTGGTCTGTACGCCGTGACTGCTCCAACTGAGGAGAAAAGCATGTCACAAGGCTTACAGTTGGTATTTCGACGCTCTGTTCGGCAACGTACGGCGGAAAGCAACGTCTGAGAGGTGAGGAACTTTAGCAGCTACGAGAAGAAAGACTAATAAAAACTGTGCGGAAATCATCTACGATGAGGGTTTCGTTAGCGATTCACGGATCGCTAAAGCCGCACAACCAAGCTGCCGTCCCCCATCACCACTGTATTGTTGTCCTACGGGTCGCGATTTATTTTTCCGGCATAGCGCGAACTGTAGCAAATCTATAGTTGATCTAGCAAGGCCCCGGACCATGACCTACTACACAAGGCCCCGGACCATGACCTACTACACTCCTGACCTGTTCAGATAGCGGGGTTCCTATGGGAGCGCGTGTCCCCGCTCTCGTTCAATCGCTCGCCGTAGGTGGCGCTACCTATAACCTGTTCGTCTGCTACTGTGCGGCCGGCAGGAGGGCGACGGACTGATACCATGCGTCTGCTTCTGTGACAAACTGCCTATACGTGTGATTGTTTTTTGCTGAAAAGGCTAACGTGTGCTATGTGTTACATTTTAGTAGTTAGGCTATACTGGTTGATTGACTTCTAAAGCTGTATATTTGCGTAGAAATGTCTTGCTGCATGGTTGTTTTTGCCATTCCAGCCTAAAAAAACTTCAATTTAGTATTCATAAAGCTTTTGACTAATAATGTACTCATTGGTAATAGAATATCAAACTGATTTTAGGTTGTTTAGGACGCGTCAGGTGAAACGCAGTGCCCCTGTTGAGCACTTACCTTGGACACTCGCCCTGGACAGGTGTTACACTTGTAGTCAATTGATAGAAGAGAATAATGCACATACGCCCACGGACGCATATCAAGGAGAGACACAGGAATTGAAGCTTTAACTCTTACTGTGACCTACACAACAAAAATTGTGCGTCAAATTTCGCTACGGGAGTTTGTCTGCTGGAACGGGGAGCGCTGGCCGATGCGCGTTTCTATGATTTTATATGTCCGTGCGATGAGACGATATGGTAAAGGCAGTGATGTGCCTATCGAGGGCAACACATTGCGACCCCAATAAAGTTTTTATCGTCATCATTATCATCATCTTGTCGAGCATAGTTAATAATAATAATAATAATAATAATAATAATAATAATAATAATAATAATAATAATAATAATAATAATAATAATAATAATAATAATAATAATGTTTTATTTTTCATCAATAGTTTGATGAAGGACAGCGGCAGGTAAAAGCTGCTCTTCGAAAGAGGCAGCTTGACATAGGCCCACAGACGCCTTTAGCACGACAGCACTGGCAAACAGTTAGCAATGTTATCTAAGCAACAATTACAAAAATATCAAGTTCAAATTCTAAAAATAAAAATAGCAACCATGATAACAATGTAGCAACTGCAAAGAAATCTTGAAAACTATACATGTGTATATCGTGCAATTGAGTTCGGGTACAGAGTAAGAAATCTATGCCAGCTTTCACATATTTATCAATTAACGTAGAAACTGTGTAGAACAACCTATCTGTGGAGTAGTTTGTTCTCGAAGTTTTTATTTTCCATGTTTCTTTATGTCATGTTTCGAACAAATTATTTGGCTGCAGTTTCGAGAGGTCGTACAAATAATGTCGACTTTCTTGAAATTGACGCCTGACCACCAATGCTAACTTAAAATCGTAGAGACGATGTAGGGGTGGTATTCCAGCCTGTTGAAACAATTCACTTCTGCGAGCATCATACGACCAGTAAAAAATTATTCTAATATACGTCTTTTGCATCAGGTACAGTTTTTGTAAGCGCGTGTTAGTCGTAGTCCTTCATGAACATGGCCTCTTGTGCAGTTTCAATTGGGTTTTCAGAACTATATACTTCCCCAGGCTCCGCTGATGCTCGCTCTTCTTGAGAAGAATCTGCGTTGGACGTTCCCCTGTTAAGCCGAAAAAATAGCGAAGCATGACAGATATATTGTCCCGCTAAACGCATAAGGGAATACTGCTAACATTATTCTTATCCGTTGTTGTGTTAGACTTCAAGTTTTACTTACAGTATTTTTACTTGTATGGGTGCCAGCGTTGTTTCCCCCTGCGTTCGTTTTAGCCGCTTTTTCCGCGGCATTGGATCTTGCCCACGTGGATCAGGAGAAGCGGGAAATAAGGAAGGCACGGCTGTGGGCTTCAACATCTTCCTTTTCGTCACTGTTCTGTAATCTTCAGCGGTAAAATGCAGGCTGCATACCTTCGACCGGTCGCTGGGCTCCCAGCGATGCTTTCCTGAACCTTCATCAAAGGTAAAGGCGTATACGCATGGCTAGCAAGATTGCAAAATAACAGTCCATAACACCTTTTTTGTAATTAATTTTTCCAAAATGTAACAAGCCAAATGGGGAGGTTAAGAAAAAGCATAGCCACGATTTTATTCTGGGGAAGTACCTGTATACCCATTTAGTGCATTTTCATATTTTCTCGCAGCCTTTGTAAATGTCTTTTTAGATGACTACATTCGTCGATTGATGTTTAGTGATGGTACGTGGTCGAGTCCAGTGGCATACTTGAAGCCCTTTATTCGAAGAGCTCATTGGCTATACAAGGTTTCATAACAAAGCTGAATTTCCTAATGGCTGCTCAGTAACGAAGCGCGACCCAATACGACAGAGCCGAAACCGAGGCGCACTTGAGCGCCTTGGTCTTGGTTTAGAGCGCAAACCTCTAACCTGTACAATGACTCCGCCGTTGACGACGATGACTTCAGTGGTTTTTGTTCTTTTGCATTCTCCAAAACGAATCTTTGTCATGCATGATGTAATCTCAGATGCAGCACGCACATAAATAGAGTATCTGTCGCTGATTATTCCAGGTTCCTCATTTCGGTTTCACCGGCTGGGTCTCTTAACCCTCACAGAGCCGATGGGCTCATTGCACGAAGGACTTCAATTATGTCATTATACCCGACCGCCTGCCAGCCCTATATAGAGTGAACAGTTAATCGCCACATTTCGTTACCGGCGTAACGTTTCTAATTACCTTAAGTAAGCTTATACAGAAACGAACAAAGCTGTATGGGAAGATAGAGGTTTGAGATGAGAAATACATTTGACCAAATTCGGTCGCTAACTTCAGTGACACCCAGTGTTCAAGAGTTGTCCATCGCTAAACACACACACACACACACACACACACACACACACACACACACACACACACACACACACACACACACACACACAGAGAGACAAACTGTGGAGGCAGCACGTAAATATTTCATATCATTAATTTTTTTATGGATTTCGGCGGCATTTGTTGAGGCAGCCTTCGGGAAGGGTGCTCGAACCCCTCGCAACCCACCGCTACGCATTTTTACATAATTTACAGATTTCGTATATTTACTTTTTTCTTGTGTGCTATATTTAAATTTCTTGGCACTATTTGTGGAGCCTGCCATATTAGCCGCGGTACTTTAAAAAAGCTTTCATGTTTTTTAGCTCAGTGAATTAGCATAACACACGGAAATAAAGTTTACTAAAGCACCCTGGTGCTTCTTGCTAGCTTGCAACTCGTTCTGAATTGAAACGACTCTCAAAAACACAAGACTCACCTTTTCTTCCAATTGCCTCGATCCATTCTTCCCGTATGTCTGTGGCAGGAAACTCGTGAAAACTTACTTTACTTTGTTTGCCTTGTTCCGATTTGCAATATGGCACGCAGCAATACACCATACTTACATTTGAGGTGTCAGCTCATCTAAAAAAAAAAAACTGCACGCGGCCACTATTAGAGCTGACTACTGCAGCTATCTGCCGTCTGCAAGTTTCTGCACACGACCTACTGTGTTTCTGCGTATCTTCTGCAATTTGTGTATGCGTATCGTCTGGAACCATCGTGATTCAGTGTGAACAATGAATGCCTAACAATAGTTTTTTTATCTCGTTGGACTACGTTTTCATTCAAGAAATATTTTCATAATAAATTTTCCTTCATTTGTAGAAAAGTTCCCGTCTGCTTGCCACTGTGACCCTTTGTGTGCTTTTTTTACGGTTCTATTTCTGCTTCAAACGTCCACACGAATGCAGCCAACTCTGACGAGGAATCATATCGCTTTATTTGCCATATTTTACACATTCATACACAATTCATGCACAATAAGAACGATTTGCACTGCCACAGCGATGGCTGAAGCAGACGACAGCGAACAGGTGCTGCCTAGCGCCACGCCGCTCGTAGGTGACGGCCCTAGCGGCAGAAGGTATGAACTAGAACGTGGGCGCTGGAAGAGGTGCTCTCTGGGCAGGTCAGGAGTGTAGTAGGTCATGCCCCGGACACTCTCAAGTTCTTGTGATGGCCGTAGAGGGCGAAACAATCGACCACGGCGAGTTTTGTCATTTGCGCGTGTAGTGGAACTACTAACTCCTCTTTTAGCGGTCGGATAATAGAAAAGCAGTGATTGTTTTTTGTTGTAGTTCAAGTATTAAGATCATCCTGACGCTCGAAAAGCAGCAACCCGTTGGCATCGATTGCGTTTCTGTCGGTCATGGAAGAAGGAAACACGGAATAGCAGTTCGTTTTCGTTATACGGCTACTTGACACGTGTTTATGTGTTTTACAAAAGAAAGTTTATCTTTGTTTCACAGAGCAACAATCACCCACGGAGCTCGTAATATGCGTGTGTTTAACTCTTACGACTACACAGCTTAATTTTCTGCAATATTCAGACTATAACAATCTCGCATTACAAAACTGCTACCCTTTCAAACGATTCATTACCACACTAAGACTATCTTAAATAAAAAGGGACATGAACTATTTTTTTACAGCCTTTCTAGTTGAAAGAGAGTGGTCACTTAGTAATGCCTTCAATCAGGCAGCGAAATGTCACATTACCACAGCCTCATAAAAATCCTTACCCCCGTATTCTAGAACGTCCCTTCACTCAACGCTTCACCTTCACTTGAGAAAGCCGATGGGAGCGCCGTCTCTATGCACGGCAAATCACTGCATATCAGCAATAATCTGCGGCAATTCTTGAGTAGCGCACCCTCATTTTCAGCCGAGCGGTGGCGCAGTGTTCAACTCTTTTAAGTGAAGGGTGGAAGTCGAGTCGAGGAGCGTTTGTGAATACGGGGGTTAGATTCAACAAAATGACGCCAGATCCCTAAATGAGGTAAAAAATCTGTAGACCTAAGGGTAAATTTCTAAGAGATTCTAGAGATTCTCAGATGAAAAAACGCAAAAAAACTGCAATTTCACCAATAAAAATAAATATAACATTTTTAACTAACTTAACTTACCAACAACCTAATAATTTATTTATAAAAATAATTCACTCGTTCATTTTTATAATATTCAATTTTGTTTATTTCAAAAGTTACTGTAGTGCTGTTTCAGGTTGTCCGTCACGCTGACCATGCGGCACGCGCGCGGTGCACGTTTCTCTAGGCCGCGCTGTGTTGTGTTGCTCACCTAGGCTTAGCCGGCGAGGCAACGTGTTCTGTCTATGGTACGGTGCACCGTCGTTAAGCGAAGTTGACAAAATGGTTAGTAAACGTTTGTGCTGTATCTCCTGAATATACTTGATAGTGACTGGTGTTAGACACTGCGGGCATTTCACATTGTCATCGCTTGAGTGGTTTGTGGAGTGGTGCCACTGCGATCTTTTGTGCTTCGTTGATGGAAATCGGCAGATTTCGTGCCGTGGCCAGTTTGTTTTCCTTTTTCATTAATTCCGTACTTCCTTCTTTCATTTTCAAACGAAATGTTGTCTGCGATAGGAAAGAGTAATCTTAATTTGCTACATAAATGAGAAAAACAAAGCAGTTATTTCAGTGTCCGTTTCACATGGTATCCAAACACCCTGTAAAACGGATCATTTGCGGCTTGATCTACACTACTATTTGTGCTCCGTTTTTTCGGTGATTGAGTGCTGCATTGTTTTTTTTTTTTGAGCTTGCACTTACACTGCGACTTTCGGTGGTGATCGGTGAACATTGAATATATGGAGTACGTGCGCAGATGTTGTCTATTGTGTCATTGCAGTCTCAGCTCTACGTGCTCTTTGAGCACGCTGTGGGATATGGACTATTTAAAGTCAAGGAGTTCGAAGAGGTCGGCATGGCGTTGCCTCAGGTGGAAAATAGCATCCTGGACTTCAACAAGTTCAAGTCGCTCGTGCATCTGATGGCGTTTTTTCCCTTCCGCACTGCCGTAAACGCCTTGGAGAACATGAACTGTGTCACTGAAGGTAGGTTCACTTAATATAGCCGCAATGTTGTTTTTTTTTTTTTCGTAAGTGATCCAATCAGCCGTTGCGCCTGCGTAGTTTCTTTTGACAGTAATACAACGCCGCATTCAAACACAGCTATGCCCAACCTACTGTTCGACATAACTTCTGCCGCTTGCACGGCAAATGTAATGTCATTTCCGTCGAAGTGTATCGATGTCATTTTTCCTGCATGCTGCCTCACGGGACGAAAACGAATTTCAGTTGAAAATGACCACTGCAATTCCTATTCCGTGACCTCAAGGGAAAGGGATTGAGAAAATTTACATTTATCATGTCATACATTTGAGATAATTGCAACAATAAACTGTTGCTTAATAAACTTATTATTTTTGATTGATAAGTAGGGTTTAACGTCCCAAATGCCATTTAATGTAATCGGTTACAGACACCAGGTTGAAGAGGTCTTAACGACTCCTCTGGTTTAGTGAAAAAGCACATTATTCGAAGAGCAAATGCTGGGGTTTGCAGTTCAGCCAAATGTCATGGTTGTGTGTTTCACAGAGTTCACAATTGGAGCACAAAGTTCACATATTATGATCACGCACTACGTGATGCCAAACAGGCAAAAAAGTGTGTTCTTCACTCGCCGCAGTGGCGACAGGTGGCACCGACTGAAGCTCTCACGTTTGAATGCACAAATATACTCTATTAAGTGAATGAGGGATAACTGCCACCATAACTCATTGCTAAAGCATCGGACACTTTCTTCAAAAGTGTAGGCCGATGGCCAGTTATTCTTTTTGTTTCTTCACATTTACATTACTATTACTTCTAATATCACCTATACTTTCCCATCCATTATCATCTGGTAGTTCTCATTATTGTGCCTAACAAAAGAGACGAGCCCATAAACTTACTATCCTCAATTATGCTAGCAGGCATTCTCACTATGAAACTGTGATGCGAGCCAGATTATTTGTGTGATCATCTGATTCACATCACAGGGAAGTAATCGTGAATCAAGTCGATTGTGTATGCAACAAGCTATTTTAAAAAATATGTGTTATTCTTTCCCTTTGTGTGTGCATCTGTTTTCAAGATTTTGTGGATTTTGAAGTTCACTGGCCAAAAGGTTATATCGCATTGTGTACATACGAAGCCATGGGTTGCCACCCATACACCACCCCGGTGGTCTGGTAGTTATGGGACTTTAGTGCTGCCCCAAAGGGTGCGGGATCGAATCTTGGCAATGGCGGCCGCATTTCGATGGAGGCAAATGCTAGAGGCCCATGGTGCACATTCAAGAATGCCTGGTGGTCCAAATATTTGAACCCCTTTGCTACTGTGTCCCTAATAATATTATGGTGGCTGGGGACATAAACTCCAATAATTATTATGTTTTAACCTTTTCCCCTCCCTTTATTTGGAACACAGCTTGATCATTCATAAAGCAGACTTGTTACCTCACGACTTGCTTATAAATAGAACAGATTTGCAATTCATAACTAGTAGGCTTGATCTAGAATAAATTTTACTTCTCATGATGTTTTCTTCCAGGTGTAGTTCATGATGATCTGCAGACTTTCTTGGAAACAAATGTTCCCAAATCGCATAAGAAGAGCAAGGTGATTCTTGGTGTTGGTGACTCCAAATTGGGAATGACTGTCCAGGAGTCTCTGGGAATATCTTGCCAGCACACGGGAGTGGTTCCAGAAGTTATCCGAGGTGAGGTGTTGCATGCCTTTTAAAGGGAGAACAAAAGGGTAGTCTAAAATCTACAGCAACAACTTGCATTCCATTGGTGGAATGTGTATAAATTTTGGTATGATCTAGTTGCTGGGTGTTACATTACTGAGACTTCCTCGCACTGTCTCAAATTGAAGCCAATATATAGTTTAATAGGCTGTATAAAGTCACCGTGATTCAAGGTACTGATGCAGTTTGTCAATAAAAATTTGAAGTGAACAAGCAGCTGCTTGTTCACTTGAAAAATGAAAAACATTTTTCTTTAAAAAACAAAATCTCAAGGAGTGCATGGCTGAATAAGCACTTAAATTTGAACTGAATCAAGTGATTTGGTTAGATATTCCTCACGCAAATTTTTGGGACAGTGGTATCTAGACTTCCTTGCAAATATATTCACATAATCCGAAATTTGTATCACCAGAGAACATAGAAAACTAGTATGTGAGACAAGAAGGCTGGCATGCATTTTCATTTATTGTTTCTGAGGACTGCTGCAATATTATAAACACTGGAGGACGCTTGAGCTTAGCCTTCAAGAGTAGAATGCAGCAGCGTAATTGGGGCCCTGTACGCACAGCCTTCACTACAGTGTCTGAATACCGGCCACAGCGATGAAACTCTTAATAGGGATGGTGAATTACTAGGCAGAGTAGGGCTCAGAATGTTGGCGTTCAACAAAGTTAGCTCATGAAATGTGTTTTGCATTGTCAGGAACCAATTATTGGTGGTAAAACGGTAGGTGACCATTTACTTCTGAACTTTAGAACCAGCGCTAATTATGTAAATGTTCAGAAAGCATGAGATTCTACAGATATGCAGGGGTTTACATGCCTTCCTGTTCTAAATAAGTAATGTCAGGTGCAACACACAATTGCTGTCCTGAGGTGTACCTAACTGGCTCCATGCAGTATCACGAGAAATGACCGCATGCCCGTACGGTTTTGATGAAGGAGACGGAAAACAAGTAGCAGTTGGGATTGAACACAGCATTCTGGGGTTATGCAGTGGCGTGGGGTTACCGCTATAAGTTTCCTGAGCCGTAGAGCGTGTGGGCAGTGAGCCACTGATGCCTTTTGATGCCGGCGTTTCGCAACGCGATCCTACTAACTGAATTTCACTTTGCGCCGCAAGACTGCAAGCTGCTCTTCAGTATGCCGGGCCCACGCTATGTAAGCATGCTACATGTGTCATTTTTCAGTTTGAGATGAGTTTACATATCCGTGCATGCCCAAAAAACTGCAGCGCCTAAAATATTCACGTCATTTCTGGATGACACAGACAAATTAAACGTACGGAACGAAATGCCAATATGCCTGCAAGCTCGGTAATCGCGGTTCAATGCATGGTTCACGTGCACCAAAGAGCACATGTGAAGAAATGAACTGCAGGAAATACGCATCTGTCACATCGAAACTGAACCCGAAACAAGTTTATTAGGAACTACATTGGCGCAGTAATATAGAGCAGTTAGCTTTGTCCCATAGCTTTCTCTTCATTGTTACAGAAAGTTGCCTCCGGGTGTAGCACTAATGAGCGGGTGTGCGAGTCAGTGTACATGCTAGCTCACTTTCGGGGCCGTTTCAGGAGCTTTCTGGCACCATGTGCTTACAACATGTTTCTTGCTCATGGGAGTAAGGTTTTTAATGACAAGACTCTTGTGAAATAAAGCAGCATTTTGCAGTTTGTTCTTTTTTTACATTGATGAAAACTCTTCTAGGCATGCTTGTCGGATCCGGACAGACTACGGGCTGCTTGCTCATTTGTTTTATGTGTCGAGTCGTCGTAAGCTGCATGCTAGAACATATGGTGTGGCACACTTAAATAGGATGCTGGCTTATTAGGTGTTTTTCAGTATTTCACGCTAGATTGCGCAATGCTGCTTCTGCAGGTGCATAACGTTTTTGGTGTCCGTAAAGCTGCTGTGAGGGCCAATTGGACGAGAAGAACACACATGCATTCTGTTATGTGCATAGTAATAACTGATTTATTTCAGTGTCAGACACTTTTTATGTATGCCACAAAAAGAAAGGAACAGCACATCCTAAAGTCACATTTCATACCAGTACTTCATAGTGTAGGGTCTCGATGTGGCGAGCGCCACCACACTCTTGGAGTGAACGGACGCAGCAGACACGGTCGGACAAACCAAACAACACATTTATTTAACTACTTTTTGAATGACGATATCGTCAGCCAAATCATTGTGAATCAATCATGATTAACACGCTAAGACATCCTTGCACAATGTTAAACAACACTCAACAACAACATGACAAACAAGGCGGTGTCGCTAACGCCTGACTCACCGCAAGAGCCCCCGGCAGACGGTCCGCGGTGCCGTGCACCGCGGTCGCATTGCGAGAGACAACCGCTTGCACCAGACGCTAGCACCGAAAGAGACTCTCTCAATTGTCTCCTGCCACCACCAAGGCTTGCTGCCAGGGGTCACCACCGGCGCTCCCCATATATAACCATGATGATGATAGTTGTGATCAACGTTCACGAACACGCTACTTACCGCTTAATATCTGTGACCCCAAAAGACGGCCTCTGCGCGAGACACGTGTGCAAACAACTTTACAGGGGGGTATCAGCACCCCCACAATAGTCAGCGTTTGCCGAGCGGTGATGTACTTGATATCGTGACTGCCTCAATTTTTAGGGGCGGAGCTTCTAAAGGCGTGGGTCTGTCGATCCCTTGTATGTACGTGACTGCCTATAGTTGCACCTTTGCCAACTGCCCACTACTTGGTCCTTGCAAACATCCCACAACGCCTCATCACCGATCCACCACTTCACCGACCATAAAGCAAACACTGTTGAGAAGTAGCCAATACGAAATGCAAGATTGTCGTGTGCTTGTATCCAGGTGCGCCTTAAACAACCATATATGGTCCCACTGTGTCATTCCTTTTTTGTGCGTGACCGCCTATGATTCCACCTTTGCAACCTGCTGACTACTTCGACCTTTCAAACATTCGACTACGCGCCATCTCTAATCCACCACTTCACCGACTATAAAGCCGCTAGAATGAAGGGAGAATGAAGCGGCATATAGCTACCACTTAGAAATAATAAAATTTCTTGTATAAACAGTTGTGGCGCCATGCTTGTTTTGGTCAGCTGGCCACGCAGAAAAAGAAGTGAGCCACGTGATTCGTGTAGCACGAGCCACGAGGGGGAGAACGGCCTAGCTCCTGGCCTGGCTGGAGGCTGCAGCTGCAACTCCACCTGTGCCCGCGTTCCAAAAACAACTGTGACCTCGGCACGGGCGCATCGCCGTCGTCTCATTTCCCGTTCCTCGACACAGTGTTCGTCACGTCTTTGATGGTGTAGTGGGCCATATTTGCAGGTGGTTCGCGATTTAGCAATGTAACCCTTCAGCGCTTTGCCCCACTCATCATCATTCACTCTGTGGATATGTTGTGATGTTAAATTTTATTAACGCGATAGCGTTAATGCGCTCATTTCACAGAAATGACGGCGTTGTTGGTTCTGAACGAAAAATCATCTTATGCATGACCAAAAACTCTAGAATGATGCAAATAAAATAAATCATTTAAAAAACCCTGTTTCAGAGTGGGGATCGAACCAGGGTCATTAGGGTCCGAGTGGGGACCGAACTCGGGTCGTCTGCGTGGCAAGCGGACATTCTACCATACGGCCACGCTTCTGCTTGTGAAAGCAGTGAAAGGAACTTCCTTTGCTTGGAAATGCAGTGAAAGTAGCTTTCATGCTTTACAAACACATTCGTCCTGTATACATGTTTCACAATACAACATGAAATATTGCTGTAATAATGTGTGGTACAAGCGCCTATTACCAGTGGGTTCGTGGTTTAAAGCCGGTCACCTACAACAAAAGGCACGCACGCTACTGTGCCTATTCCCTTAACCTCCTTAGTTCCAAGAATGCACTAATGAAAAAGCTTTTGCAAAGCTATATTATTTGACTCCCTGCCCTTAAAAACAAATGCAGAAAAAATGTGATTTTGAAAAATTGGATGGTTGTCTCAAAATGTTATGGTGTTCATTCGCATACTCTTGATCTCCTGAAGTCTCTAAAATTGAGTGCAACAAATGTATCTGACCGGACTGACTTTCAATATGATATACACAGTATATGATGTCCACAGTTAAAGGAATGCACTATAGATGATGTCGCTCACGCTACAACTCAGAAAAAAAAAGGTTTACATTTATCATGAAAACGTATCTGAGCGCTCATGCAGCACTGTCACTTTCGTTCGCTCGTTTTGAAAATTTGACAAGGCACGCAGCACGACTTTTCAGGGCTTTGTGAAAGCAGCTCATCTTTTTTGTGTCAAAACAAATTTGAACACGCTGATATCGAACTGGAATGATCTGTAGCTTTTAGAACACCGTTGCCCAATTGGGTACTGAGGGTCCGAGGAGGTTAAGGCCATGTAGTGAGTGCATATCAAGTTCAAAAAGGTTTCGAGCACAAAGTGTTTGAATTACACACTAAGAACAGGATATCACTATCGCATTCAACTGCTAAAGCCAAAGCGTTAGTGTGCCCTAATTTTTTATTTATTTTTCTATAATTCATTCACCCTGAATGTCATTCGCTGCTACAGCCCCACCACACCAGCAAGCAGCCTGCTGGCTTGTGCACATTCTCTTGGAATAACTTATTGGCTGATCAATATATTCTGTTGCTTTGCAGGTGTTCGACTGCACTTTTACAAGCTGGTCAAAGGGCTCACAGCTGTATCCTCTTCCAAGGCGCAGCTTGGATTGGGACACAGCTACTCGCGTTCTAAAGTCAAATTTAATGTTAATCGTATTGACAACATGATCATCCAAAGCATTGCCCTCTTGGATCAACTTGACAAGGACATCAACACCTTTGCCATGAGAGTCAGGTGGGTTGTTCATGTGACTTACTGTTGTGTGCATTTCTGCTTCTAGAATTTGTCTTGAAACTAACGTCTAAGCTGCTTTTTAGTAGTGTACATACTATGCACATAGGTGTTTTGCCTTTAATTCGTTTATATGAAGAACTTGTAGAATTGAGCCAAATTCAGTGATAATGAGTGTATTATAAGTCATGACCAAAGAATGAAACTTCTTAGCCACATATTCTATCAATGCGTTTATTTCAATATTGTTTGTATCTAAGGGAAAACCTAATGGCGGTCTATTATGCAGGTGTGAATAGTTATTTTTCGCTTCAAAGCGAATACAAATGGAATACAGTCAAATCTCTTTATTCGAACATGCTTAATTTGAACTTCCGGTTAATTCGAACTCACGCTGAAGTCCCATCAGAGCTATGTGTATTTCAAGGGGTGAAAACGCCCTGTAATTCAAACGCGTGAGCACTTGCGACGGTCAATTCGAACATACTGCGCTTTGAAAATGCTCTCAGCACCACGCCCAATCTCGCAGCGGTTCCTCCGACACCTCACCGCTGCGCGCGAAGCAAAAGGAAAGGGAAGAAAAGGCTGCGGTGGAATGTTCGGTGGAATGGTGCCATGCTTCTCTTCCTCCGTCCATAACACGTGAAGACCCTTCTTTTAGCAACGACGTGCGCAAAGAGAGAGATGAAAGGAAAAAAATGAAAGCTGCCGCGGAGTGTTGGCTCCCTCTCGCGCGCCAGTGCCATGCTTCTTCCTTTCCCGTCCCTGCCACGTAGACCCTTCTCCTTTCAACGACGCGTGCGAAGAAAAAAATTTTAAAAAAAGCTGCCATGGAGTGTTGCTTCTCTCTTAAATGCCGTTCTGCTTCTCTCTGCATGGAGACGCTCCTCCTTTTTCATCACCTGCTGGCTGCTTAGCGGAGACGCAGTCGTTGTCGTCGTCGTCTTTAGAGAGTGTCCGCGCTGGACATTGCCGCGCGTAACTTCTCTTGCCTCCAAAATGCTGAAGCCGAAATAGAAATTCTTTGCAAGCTGCGTGCGAAATTGACTCGCTGCAAAGCAAACGTGCAGACATGCATCACCGATTACTTCAATTAATGACGAATGTCCTGTGATTTGTGAATAAATGTAATGTATTCTGAAACTTCCCCCTCATGTGTTGGCTCAATGCACATGTGCCACTGCATAGTGAGCCCTCCGTTCATTTAGCTTTCATTAATTCGAACAAATTTTCGGGCCCCCTCGAGTTCGAAATATGGAGATTTGACTGTTGTTATCTCATTTGAACAATTTCAAAGTGAAGTGAATATATTCTAATCTAAAATTACTTAGGATACTAAGTTCACGAAAGAAAAATTGCGGGAATGAACTACATTACCTTGATAAATGCGGCAACTTGGGCAGGTTGGTAAATATGCATAACTTCAACTGGCTAGCGCAAAAAAAAAAATGCCCCCACCTCCCCGAAGAGAATCGTGAGGAAACACCAGTGCATTTTTTGCCCCAAGAGACTGTACCAATGCGATCAGACATTGGGCTTCACCAACTTCTGCCATTGCCTTGAGAGACGCCCAGCCAGCGAATGGTCGAGAGTAAGGAGCGAGCGTACAGGAGAGTGGGGCACCAACATTCTCAACTCGGCGTTGGCGTTTCACAGCGACGTCTCGAGCACACATTTCTGTGTGTTCTTGAGATGCGCCCAGACAGCAAACGATCGAGAGTGGGGCGGAGAGAGAGCAAACGGCGAGAGAAGGAGCGGTGAAGCACGGCACCTACCCTCCCCTACCTTCTCGCACCACATGCTTTGGTTGCTAGGAGCGAGGATAAGCGCGCGTGCCCGCAGCTGCTGCTGTGAAAGAGGGAGTGAGTGCGGGGAGATAACACCTGGTGGCGTTTAAGAGTACACAAACGAAGATAACCCACCCACATCTGTGATGAATCTGTAGAATTGAGGGAGCTGTTGTGACCGGGCAGATTCTTTCTTGCCAGCACATATTCGAATGTCATCGCATAGAAGGCATCTGAGGACTTAGTTGAACTCCAAGCATTAGAGCCCAGAGAAATAAAACAATAAAACATCAACTTGCATGTCCTTGTAGAAAAAAGAAAGAGGGAAAAAAAAGTATGCGGTGTGGCTCTGTTCTTGCGACGTTGTTTGTCATTGTCAACGCGTGGTGCACATAATACAGTCGAGCCCGCTTATAACGAACCTGAGCATGACGTGGCATTCATTCGCTGTATCCTGAAGTTCGTAGTAAATGAAACACAGTTTTTAAAAAAAGTTGCGCGGGAAAACACAAACTTTTTATGCCCCCAAAAGTCCGTGATGCACGTGTTTCGAATAGCAGAAACGATAAGGGTGGTCTCGAGTTCATTTAAAACGGCAGGGCGCTCATTCGCCGAGGCCCGTGGCATAAGCTGCATGAGGCACTGACTCCAAAGTTTCGTCATTCTCGCAATCCGATTCCTCCAAATCGCTCTCGCCACATACTTCATTCACAATGCCCTAATCCGTGCACGGTTCCGCAGTGTCAGCATCATCATCGGCCGTAATTAAACCATTGCAACAGATGTCCCACCTGCTCTCCCAGGTCGGAGTCGACACGCTGCCACAAATTGCCGCCGCAGTGGTCCTGTTCGGAAGCTTCAGGCTCGGCATCAGGCTCGACGTCGACGAAGTTGGCCTCGCGAAAACAGTTTCGCGCATGTAGCCGTCATCGCCGCCCACGAAATATTCACCATCTCCACAGCTGCATACTGGGACGCCTGAAGCGGCAAGTTGACTGCCAGGTGGTCAATAGCTATGAGCAAGCGCTCCGCAACGCGGCACCTAACGCGTGGACTACGCTCAAGCCAAGCGGTGACATTTTCGGCATTTTGTTGAGCGGCAGAAAAAAGCGTGCTAGACCTCCCGTCGACCATCATGACCAGGCACGCACACTAAGAGCGAGCAAGACACGCACACACTACACACATGCCAGAACGCGTGGAACAGCTCGGGGCCTGTTTCCAGTCAGCAAACAAAACTAATTCGAGCCAGCGTGGCGGGCGAAGGGGTTGTGATCAAGAGAGGAGAGCAGACTGCGAGAGAAGTGCAAGAAGTTGCGATATAGAGAGGGGAGGATGCGGCAGAAGGGCGACCTTGAAAACCAAAACACACGGGAAGGAGGCAGGTTGGGTAGCTTGCTTGAAAGGTCCGCGAAACTCGCACGTAGAAAAACTTGGAAAGAGTGCATGGCCACCTGAATCGGTGCGTGCGGCGGTGTTCGAAGAATCGGCGGCCATGGTCAAAAATCGTTTTGTTGTGCCGGCGGGTTTGCGTGGCCTCACGAACTTCGATATTTCGCGATTGGTTCCACGCAAATTAACAGCCGTTTTCGGGCTTCCGCACGCGCGCGGAAGGCATGCTGAGTTGAGTGCGAAGTGATCGAGAACAAGTCCTAAACACGAAACGAATCGCAAATTATCAGAGTCGGTGGGGTAGCGTTCGCGCGTGCACTAGACGCAGGCTATCTGATACAGTCGGTGGCCAACAATGTTGGCAAATGGTCTCGTCACTCCAGGCCGGTGACGCCAACGACAGTACCAACGATCAAAAACAGGGTAGATGGCCGACCGGTCTTCCCAAGATCGGTGGCAGTGTGAAAACACGGGCCTCGTCGGGCGATGCCGAATGCTCAGAGTAGTGGGGGGGGGGGGGGGGGGGGGGGGGATTGCATAGAATTGCTTTAGTTCTTTTTTCCACTCGTGGGTCTGTTTCCAGTGCACGGAGTCTTCCAAGCAGACGTAATGGGTATGGAATTTGCTTTAAAGGGACACTAAAGGCAACTACTAAGTCGACGTTGATTGTTGAAATAGCGGTCCAGAAATCTTGTAGTGTTACTTTTGTGTCAAGAAAGGGCCTATTTTGAAATAAAATCATGTTTTAGCGTTTTGCATCAGGTTAGCGCACTTCAAATCACCCAGCTCAAAAAAAGGACCAACCGGCCATAAACCGGACCGACTCACGTCCACTGTTGCCATGCACAACGTTGCCTGGCTTTACTGTGCTAGTAGCAGCAGACCGAAAGCAGTGGGAGCCACAGCAGCAACAACGGCCATTGATCAGTTTCCCGCCATTGGCTTCGAGATTGCGAACGTTGTTTGTTTCAACTGCGCCCCACTAGATGGAACCACCTGTCAAGTGTAATTACGCGAGCATTAAATTTTTGAACCACTTGCGCCATTCCCTGTAGTAACGTCCGGCTATGGTGGCTAGTCCGGCGGTTCTTTTTTTTTCATGAATCAAACAGAAACGAACAAGCAGCATTTTATTGAGTCTCTTGATGCACGGAAGGCTCTTTATTTAGTGCAGTTAGATCTATTACTAGTGATTAATTGTAGGCGGTCCGTCTGATGTCACTAGGATCATTATGAAAACGTCCTACTGCGGCGCTTGTGTTCTTGTGTTCTTACCTTAATTACTCTGTAAGTAGGGCACTGTTGTTGATAACATTGTTGTTTTAGATGTCATACATTGAGCTTTCAATCTGATGTAAATTGTTATCTGACTTTAGTGTCCCTTTGAGTCATCATGGAAAATCTGGAAAGACAAGGAATTTCAAAATAACAAATTGGTAAACACCCTGCATAAGACACTTTCTGTTCAGCAGAGAAACAGATAGGGAACACCTAAATGAAATTTATTGATGAATATTCCTTTTAAATATTTCTGCAGCAAGTGTCAAAATGGCATATCTTTGCTATAGCTGCATCTTAAACTGAACTACAATAAAAAGATATCGAGGGAAAGTGCCTTGATCACCCGTAACAAATGGCCTAATTAGACTTTGCCCATTTTTTGTAACCTGACAACTAATTAAGGTACAATAAAACTGTGTTTTCAAAATTTAAAAAAAAGAGACGCATTTCAGATCAATGTTTCCCCTTAAGCTCAGAATGGTAAGCTGGGCTAGGTTGATAATTTGTCTTGAAACCTATTTTACCGCACGACAGACCAGATAGAACGTAAGAGGAATGACAGTACAAAGTGCTTTTACTGTCATTTTTCTTTGTTTTCATCTGTCATTTGTGTGTCATATGATTTATTGTACACAGAGAGAGAGTTGTATATTTAAGTAATATAACCATCAAATCCCGGCTGCATTTTCGATGGAAGCGGAAATGTTGTAGGCTTGTGTGCTCAGATTTAGGTGCACATTAAAGAACCCCAGGTGGTCGAAATTTCCGGAGCCCTTCACTACGGCATCTTTCACAATCATGTTGTTGTTTTGGGACGTTAAACCCCACAAATCATAAAGTAATATAACCAGGCTTAAAATTTTTATTCTATTAGTTATGTATCATGAGTAAGCAAAGTGCCATTCGTTCACATGTGGATTTGTTTAGCTATTCAAAATAAAGTGTTTTGTTAGACTTGTGCGAATACTTGAATGCTTCAAATATTCAAATGAATATTAGAGTAATCAGATTCTCTTTAATTTGAATTTAAAATACTGAAAATTTCACGGTATTTCACGGCTGGTTGTTGCCGGGGCCACAAGTGCGCCATGCGTGCTGCCGCTTCGCACACCCACGGAAGACGCAGCACCCGCAGAAGATGCATGCTTGTACCAAAATGCAAAATCCGGGGCGAAATTCCTAGATTGTCTGCGGGGAACATTTGCTATATCAAGGCTGTCTCCCGCTGTTACTTTGTTACATAGAGGCCGCAAATACATGTGCTTCTATGGAGCAACGGCGGGGAATAGGAAAACTTTGTTATATTAAGGAATTCATTATATGGTGGTTTGTTATAAGTAGGTTTAACTGTATTTATTTTGAAATTTAAAAAAATGGCATTTTCACAGGTCTTGTTTCAATATTTAGAAAATATTGTGTAGGTTAGTTATCACAAATATGCCCATTTTTCATTATAATATGTGATATGTACTATTCAAATTTGATTTGAAATTATTTGACCAAAATTATCATTCACTTCGGATGTATAGTAAAAAAATATGGGGCTTAGATGCCTTTTCATTACTGAAGTGAATGCTGTGTTGCATTTTTATGTGTGCGTCCAGACCATGTATGCACCGTTCGCTTTAATGAAGGAAGTCACACTCTTCCCCTCTGATGAGGACTGCCGCAAAATATTAGCAGGTTCACTGTAATAATCTTTATGTGTTTGCTGCAGAGAGTGGTATTCATACCACTTTCCAGAACTTGTGAAGAATATTAGCAGGTTCACTGTAATAATCTTTATGTGTTTGTTGCAGAGAGTGGTATTCATACCACTTTCCAGAACTTGTGAAGATTGTCCCTGACAACTACACATATGCCAAAACAGCCTCTCTGATAAAGAACCGGAAGGACCTGAATGAAGACAGCCTTGCTGCACTCGAGGAAGTGGTCATGGACAGTGCAAAGGCCCAAGCTATAATCGATGCTGCAAGAGCATCAATGGGTAGGTAGTGTTTGGTAAAATAATTTTGCAGATCTGGCATACAGTGTGAATGTATTTATTATACATTCATCAGGCAGGAATGCAAAATCGTGGGTTACAAGAGAAGTGCATCAGTTCATCTCTGTGATGGACAAATACTTAAGGGGGGACGCGAGTCTTGGTATGACCAAAAATTGCCAAAAAATGGATTTTTTGCAATACTTATTTTTTGGCTTCTGAGCACCTACTCTCAAATTACTAACGCTAAATTCGGTCAAGAAATGAAAGAAAATGAGCCTTCAAAGCACCCTGGCAGCAGTAAAATGCCCCCCAAATAACGAAATCTGTTCGAAAATTGCGTGCAGGCCAATGTGGGTCGCGTGTTGGCACACATGCGAGTTGCTACTCAGCCTGCTGCAATGTGCACACTCATTGCAGCAGGCGGAGCGCCGACATTTTGAGCTGGATTTGAAGCTGTTTCTATTGTGTGTAATTTGCACCATCTCTAAATGGGGTCGTCCATGCAGCACGGCCACCTTCGCAAGTTTTCTGAAAATCGTTCCCAGGTTGCCGAGTGGCTCTCACTCTACGTGCATTTCGAAAAACCGTACAGTCTCCCATTGGGTGACGTGGCCTGTGCGATTTTTTAGAGTGCTTTTTCGTGTTTCCCATTGGCTGGCCTGACCGACGCATAATTTTTTCCCCTTGCAAAAGTGAGCTTCGAACAAGGAGGCACCAGCTAGAAGTGCACTATCGGGACGAGAGTTTGTGGAGTCTGTGCCCATATGTTTATGATCCGCTCCATTTACATGTAACTTAGTTGCGTGTGCAAAACGATCGCGTGAGCAGCGCAACATAGAGCGCATCTTGCGCTCCACTTACGAGGTCGGTTCAGTGAAGGTGGGTCCGTTCGATTTCGCTGCGATCTTGCAGCCGATCTAACCACCTCTCGATAAAACGCGCTTTTCACTTATTTACTTATTTTATCGTAATCTGATAGTTGATTAAGGTACAATAAAGCTAATTACATTTTTGAAAACAGAAAAAAGCAACACATATACACACCAAATTTCATTAATCTATTAATGAGTATCTTCTTTTTTATGACCAATGTCTCCCCTGAATCCACCTTGATGGGCCTTGCAGAAAAAGTGTTAGTTTTAATTAGCATTAGAAAAGTTTGAATTCCCCGACTCAATATTTCTGGACCTTATTGGAGATCAGTGGTAAATAGGTGGTGCGCAGAAAAAAAGGGCCCTCAGCAAAAATTTGCGACATAACTCAGCCACCCGCACAGACGATTGGCCGCAGTGTACCGCAGCAAGTGATTGCACATGCATCATTCCCGTACTTGATTTTGGCACAAACAGCTCAAGCAGCCCTTGCGCCTGTAATACTGCAGTGTATTTCACTTTATGACTTGATGTCACTTTATCTTAAGGATACAGGAAGGTACTGGAAAACCCAGAGAACTTATGCAAAGTAGATTAGGTCAGCGAGAGCAGCTGGAATAAGCACGCTTTGACGGTTGGGGTGACCGCAGAAACTCCAGCGCTGGTTCCCTAGAGAAAGGCACCATAGTACGATGAATGTTAGCAGCCAATTTCCTCTGTTGCCGTGGTAGTTCTTACAGAGCAAATGTCAATTTAATGTTTTATTCAGCGTTAAGTTATCACTAAAAGACATGCTTAATGTAGAAGCACTTTACTTGCTGATGCTGACAATCAGTTTTAGAAATGAATGTGTCTCATTATCTGTCTTGCTTAGCATTCAGTTCAACAGTGATCACTTGTGGTGGTCTTTTCTCAGGCATGGATATATCACCTGTGGATTTGATCAACATAGAGATGTTTGCCTCTCGAGTCATTTCCCTTGTGGAATATCGCAAGGAACTCATGGAGTATCTAAGGACAAAGATGCATGACATTGCCCCGAACCTGGCAACACTCATCGGTGAAACGGTATGGACTTTGTATGCACTTTGTATGCAGTAACAAAGCAGGGAGCATCCTTCACCACTGTTAGTGGTCTTTTCTCTCTTGTTTAGTTTCATATTGCTACATGCATGTTGACCTTTTGTGGGACGATGCGTGTAACATTCTCGTGCAAGGGTGGTGTGGCACCGAGATGGGTGCAGGTTGACGTGACAGCCGTGTTTGGGAGCCGCGAAAATTGAGGCAAAACTCGGCGGTTTTTGGCCATTTCGAAGCTGCGGCATTCCTTAATTATGAGATCGACAGTCGTCACGTTGTACACGAGCAAGTTAAAAGCGTCGTCCGCGATGCCCTTGAGTGTATGGCCCACCTTGTCGCTCTCGGTCATTTGCTCGTCCACTTTGCGGCACAACGCGAGCACGTCTTGTACGAGACATACGACTCGGTTGATGGCTGTACATGGGTGGGGAGTTCTTGTCATGCGGCCATTTGTCGACCGACTACGCGACATCTCTCAAAGATGTCGCGTAGTCGTTCCTTGATGGTCCCTGCTGGTGAGCTCGACCTCATGAGCGTGGAACCATACACGCGGGTTGCCATCTAAGTAAAAGATTACGCTGGCGAGCGTCATGGTAAGGTCCCATCGATGAGACAGGCTAACGCGCTCGTACATGCGGAGCCAGTAGTCGACGTCAAGGCCAGGCCGGGCGGCGAACGTACCGGGATCACGGGGGTGGGACATCACAAGGTACGTAGTAGCTGGCGCTCCAGCTGAAGGCGGTGACGGGTTGTTATCATTGGAAGCCATGGCCGCAGGCTGGACGGTGCAGCCATTGCGAAGCTTCGTGGTGAGGATAGGGACATTCCACCTCCACCAAATATGTTACGGAAGAGACGTCGTATCGACGAGGCTGTGGGTGAAATATATTTCAAACTAGCAGCAGCGGCGTGACCCGTTCACCAGACACCAAGCTGAGACCACTCTTCGTCCGGCACACACGCGCATCGTCCCACAAAATGTCAACATGCATGTAGCAATATTTTGCAACAACTATTGCACACTCAAAACTGGTGAGAAAACTGGATACCATAATGTAAATAATATTCCTCTTGAAAATTCTATAATGATACATCCGTATTAAGCTTCGTTATTAATGAAGTGAAATTGTCCTGCAGATAAGTATTAAAAAACAAAAAGTGAACAAAAAAATCTTCGCGGAGGTTGTATCGCTTGCCGCAGTGTTTAGTGCCTCTCTGGTGTGGTAGATGAAAGGTCCTACGTCTCAGCTGCACAGCTGCTTTTTTAAGTTCGTTCGAGCCATGGCTTACTGCCTTCCTACATTCTCACTGATAGTGCCCTCCTCACTGTGGTGCAAGCTGGTGACAATAGGCATGGTATGTGGTCGTCGTGTGGCATCCATAATCTCAGCATGGCAGTCTCCGAGGCCATGCCTCAACTTTAAAACCAAGGCGGCGCTAATGAGTGATACAAGACGCTACTGAACACTGACGCAGCTATGCATGGCCTCCTAAATTTCATCGACACCATAATGACCTTGGGAGGCACAAGCTGGCCAGGGTGGCGCAGCGAGGTTTAGTAACCTTTGCTTGTACAGTTTATGCATGCTGGCCTGTGTGCCGCATGTTGCTTGCTCATGGCAGACTTTTTGCTTTTATTGTAGTGTGTGAGTTACTGTCTTTGCCAGCTCTTTTGTTTCTTTTACTACACTCAGGTGCTAAAAAGTTGTTTGATGCTCATACCAGACTCACTGTTTTAATAGAATTTTATTGTGTTTGTGACTGTACAGCATTACTGCGGTCAAATCACGTTATAGCAAACCTTAGATTAACAGTTTTTTTTTTTTTTTTTGAGATTAACATTTTCAAAAATTTCTGTAAAATGTCTATTGGTTTAATGTAAAAAAATTTCACTACAGTGTAGACCACTTATAACGCAACTGCTTGCAATGCAGTCTTTTTCTACTCCCGTTTACCCTCCCATACAACCCCATGTATACGCATACCGCTTATTGTGCAGTCTGCCAAAATGAAAGACCGGTTATAATGCAGTTGCCGGAAATTGTGGTAAATGCGGTAGCGAGTGCGCTTCTGAAAAGAGGTGCGCAGGGTGCGCTTCTGGGGAGCGAACGACGAGGTCGTTACGGAGGATGAGGGGACACGGAGTGAACGGACGAAGGGCAGAGATAAGAAAAAGAAAAAAAAAACCGAGGGACACTACACAGGCTCAACGAGTAAGGAAGGAGGACGGTGACCGATAAGCCTTTGCACCGGCGCCGATACGACCACAGCGTACTACGTCGCTAGCGTGGCTTCGTTCGGCCGTGCGCTGCTCAACGTGGCACGTGCGATCCCATCATCAACTGCAGGGGCTGAACAGTTTTCTGTCGGGAAAGACGTCATTATTGAGCTTGCAACAAATATCGCTTTGCTCCCTTGTCCGTAAATTGAAAACCTTTTATGGTTTTATGATGCGAGCTTTCACTTTTGCTGCAGGTGCGCTGTCGTATGTAAGCTTGGTTAGTTGTTTTCGTTGCTGATCTGGCGGCCACGAACGCAAACTTCGTATCATGCAAGCTGCTCTTGGTTCACTGCTAGTGTAATCTTTTTTGACGCCGACTGTTCATATTTGGACAAACTCTTTGCGACAACATACCAAATGGCAAGCTAGGCCTAACCGATGTTGGTTGCAGTTAATTTCCTCCTCCTCGACTAGCAACACTAGCTAAGGAGGGAAGATGTTTGAAGTTTGGAATGGGTCCCCCTGGATGACTCGAGTGCACGGTGGCAGCGCGAAGGAAGAGCCGTAGTCCGGTGAAGAGACGCTTTATTGCAGCCTCAGGCTACTGCCCGAGTCCAAGCCCGAACCTCCGCTCTCCATTTCAGATTCAGACATCCTCTTTTCAACCCTCGGTTGAACAAAGGGTCTTCACACAAGCCAACCACACGTGCGGCCTCGTATTGCCTCAACCAATTGCAGAAACACTTTGATGATAGACACTACATTGGTAAAAACCCCGTTACCAAATACAACACGCAAAGGGCACTCTCTGCGTGTGGCACTCTCTCCCATGCCAGGCCGTGCTGCCTTCGTCGGCCGACTTCCGTCGGTGGCTGTTCTCACGCTCGAGCCCCGTCAGCTCTCTCATTAAATGTTGCTTCGTAGAAGCGACCTTAAGAGCGGTGAATACACTGTTGTGCTCTGTGCGCTTAGCAGGTGGGCATGCCACAGCGAGGCGCCCCGACATCCTAAAAACACCAGGTAATGAGGTACAGCGGGGGAGGTTATGCTCGTCTCCCTGCCACCACTATGTCTCGGTCAGCCAGGTGGTCGCGTCCCCGCGTCATTCTCAATGGCACGCGTGCATGCCAACAATGGCGTAAACTCGGACGGTGGCGCCTGACCTGCCTCTTGCCAGACGCTCTTCCGAGTAAGGCTTTCCCTTCTAGTCCCAAACAGGGGCGACCTTGACTGCCCCACTCGTGTACCGTGCGAACGAAGAAGTCTCCTTTTTTTTCCCGTGCTCGGGTCTTCCGCGTTCGCCTTCGCGGAACCGATCAACTTCGTTTGTTGACAAAACGGGAGCTGGCTACGCGCTTCACATCCGCCGCATTAATTACGCTACACCCAACATGCTGGTAATTGTTGCCTCATACTAACTGTTGCGCTTCGATCAGTAGCAGTTGCTTGAATTTGAGTTGCGGTTTGGTACCGAATGAACGAAACTCATTGCTGTGGCCGCACTTGACGGGAAAGGATACCGTATATACTCGTGTAAGGGCCGCCCTCGTGTAAGGGCCGCACCCCAACTTTGAAAGCGGATATTTCGAAAAAAAAAAACAAAAGTTCAAAATGTCCCGCCAGAAAAGTGTAGTTAGTTCATTTACAGCCAGATGGCGCTGCACGCTTTTCCGCTTTTATTCTACTTCCGCCGACGCGCCGACCACGCTGTTGACAGCGCGCCGCCATATTTGCCTTGTGCGGCCTCTTTGTTGGCATCGTTCCTAGCATCGTGTCGATACGTTGGCAGCGCGACTTCAGATCGGTGTCGTCGGTGTCACTTTGTTGGTTGTAGTGAACCCTGCAGAAGCCAGCGCACGTGACGGACGATGGGCCGGCATCTGAGATCATTCACTGCAGCATTTAAGCTGCAAGTGATTGACTATGCCGAGGAGCACGGGAAGCGGGAAGCTGGACGAAAGTACGACGTCGATGAGAAGCGCGTGCGTTACTGGATGAATCAGAAAGATGCCCTCGCCGCTACTAACAGGAGCCGAAAGGCGTTTCGCGGGAAAAAGTGCAAGTACCCGCAACTCGAAAGCGAGCTCGTCAACTACGTCGTCGACACACGAAGGGACGGCTACGCCGTATCGACTGACATGATACGCGTCAAAGCCCTCAGCATCGCTCGCCACATGGAAATACCCCCGGCACAATTCAAGGCAAGTCGGGGCTGGGCTACGCGGTTTATGAACCGTAACCAGCTTTCTATTCGGCGCCGAACGACGATTTGCCAAAAACTGCCGCGCGAGTACGAAGACCACGTCATTAAGATTCATCGCTTCGTGAATGCTCTCAGGAGGGAGCATGAATACGACCTGTCCCAAATTGGGAATGCGGACCAGACACCTGTGTGGTTCGATGCACCGGAAAGCACCACAGTGGATTTAAAAGGTGCGAAAAGTGTGTCTGTGCGCACGACTGGTGCAGAACGCCAAAGGTGCACTGTGATGTTGTGCATCACGGCAGACGGCAGGAGGCTTCCGCCGTACGTCGTATTTAAAAGGAAGACTCTCCCAAAAGAGAAGTTCCCTCAGGGAATCGTCGTACGTGCGCAAGAGAAGGGCTGGATGTCCGAGGAACTGGTCGTTGACTGGATTAAGACCGTCTGGGCAAACAGACCTGGAGGGCTGTTACAACGGAAAGCCCTCCTTGTTTTGGACAGCTTTAGGGGCCACTTGACCGACCGCGTCAAGAACCGAGTTGCCGCAACTCGTACGGACTTGGC